GCTGAGGAGGGGTTATAAGGGCAACAGCTGTTTGGTGGAAGGTGTAAGAAAGGGGTTCAATTTTTTAATGACCGGTTTGGCAGTATAGTGCATATGGCTGGCTATCAGTCCAGATATAGGGATTATGTATTTTTATCTGCCAAGAGCATCTCCTACTGCTGAAAAAGGCTTTTCCCCCCCATGTAAGCAATCCTAGCCTATATAATCTATCTACACTACTAAAAGGGTAATATGCTAATCAGACCGGGTTGACCGGCCATCTTCTGGACATCTGACTTCCTTCAGGACAAAGCCATGGTGATGGGGGCTGAGGCACAAGCTGTTGAGGGCAATCAGGCCAGCAGAGGAAGGCAGTTTGGGGCGAGATCAGGCCGTTGGGGAGGGCCGTTGGGGGTGAGATCGGGTCAGCAGGGGATATATATATAAAAGCCTAAGTGACCATCACAACTGAACGGACGACCGAACAGGCTGCATGGGGCAACCAGGCCAGCAGGGGGGCCAGTTAGGGATGATCAGGCAAGCAGGGAGGTGAGCAGTTAGGAGCCAGTGGTCCCAGATTGTGAGAGGGATGTCCAATTGCTGGTTTAGGTGGTTGAACATACCCCAAGGGGTCTCCAGTTGGAGAGGGTGCAGGCTAGGCTGAGGGACTCCGCCCCAACCCCATGCACAAATTTTGTGCACTGGGCCACTAGTTATAGATATAAAAGCCTAAGTGACTGAATGACCAAATGACCGAACGGCCATTTGACCAGTCTTTATGACATGCACTGACCACCAGGGGGCAGACACTCAATGCAGGAGCTTCCCCCTGGGGGTCAGTGCATTCCCACAGTGGGAGCACCACTCAGCTGACTGTGATGAGCTGGGCCAGGATGAGTGGGAGTGGCTCCTCCCTGGCCACCTGCTGCTTCGCACACTACTAGATCCCTCAGGAGATGTTGGATGCCAGTTTCAGCCCAATCCCTGCAGGCCACGCCAAGGGACCAAGTTGGTGCACAAATCCATGCACTGGGCCTCTAGTGTTGATATAACAGATAACTCTTAATCACTACACCCCTGAAGGAAAATAGTAAAAAGTATCTTACATTCCATCACTTCCTATGAATGAGAAGTGTTGCCTTTTCCACATTGGATTCTACAACATGAATGGGAAATGTTTTTTACTTATTAAGATCCTAAGAAGAATTAATCAAGTCTTTCACTGAAAATACTCAATGGTCCGTTGAAATTACTAGCACTGCCATACCCAGAAGTTATGTTCTTATTTAAAGCGCTGTTTAGTTCTAGAGAATTCTGACCCAAACAGAGTAAAATAGAAAGGAATATGCTTCTACCTCATCAGTCTTGATGACTTTCTAAAAGCTTGTGTGTTTTGATGGGTAAGATTAATGAGACCACATAGTGTTAAGCACCTTGGACTTTCAGAACAAAGGCTTTTTAGAGAACAAAGTATCATTATTAATGACATATCATTTACAGTTTTCATCAGCAATGTAAGGTTTCAGCCACTTTAATGGGAACTTTAATGCTCAATGTGGAGGGCAAGGCTATTAGCGAAGGTTCTTGACAGTGATACCTTGGCTTCTAAGGAAAAAGATAAATCATACTCATATGGATCAAAAAGACAAGCTGAGGGGCTCAGAAGGAGGAGAGCCACCTCTAGCTTACTGAGTTTCTCAAAGGCCTTGTCATCCATGAGTCTGCTGGTGAGCTCTGCCCTGTGCTATGGGCTCCCTTACATGCCCCCCCCGCCCCCCCCCGCACCACCTTCTGTACACCTTGATAACCCAGAAAAATGCCTCATGCTCCAAACCTCACCTTTCCCTTTTATTTGCCCTCGCCTATCTTTCTACACTCCCAAACAGTCTATGTTGGGTTTCACCGCTGCAGGATATTATTTGTCCTTTGGTGGTCTGCTTATCCACATACATGAAATAAAGAAATTCTAGTGTGGGGCAGGAACAAACACTTTCCTCTACCTACAAGGTTCTTTTGGCTGGTCTAATGAGCAAAAATACAGGTGGCAGATTAGCAAGAGAAAAATAACCCAATTTAACATATACATTTATAGGAGAACCCTGCACACCTGAGGGAGTCACAGACTCCACATGCATGAGAGGTTCAGAGACAGAAAGAGAACAAGGATGTATAAGGCATCCTGAGCTAGAGATGAGGTAAGGTGCCCTGGGGTGGTGGTGGTGGTGGGGGCTTCAAAGAGTCACTGCAGAATGCTAAGAACATGCTTAGTAAATAGAAATTTGCCCTATCCTAAAGACAGGCCAAAAGAGGCTATCTCTGATTGCTGGGGTCCAACCCCAGCAGGTCCAGGGGTCCCCAAAGGTGTGGATGGAGTCGGCGAAGAAGGAATGACATGGAGACAGCATTCAGTTGATCAGCAGCCTTGCCAGGATCTCTAGCCACAATCTCCAGCCAAGTTCTGTGTCCATGTTCTCTTTCTAGGTTCTCCAGCCAGGTTCTCCAGGCTCTCCAGCCAGGTTCTGTAGCCATGTTCTCTCGCTAGGTTCTCCAGCTAGGTTCGGTTTAGGTTCTCCAGCCAGGTACCAGTTGATTTTAATCCTGTCAATTTCTATTACAAAGGTTAGGGCGTTTCTTATCTCCATTCCAGGGAGTAAAGATTATGTAGCTTAAGCATGATTGTTCATAGTTAAAGTGATTAATTACCCGCCTGGCACTTAGTGAAGGGGTTTTATTCCCTCCCTAACTTCAGGGGAAAATCCCTACTTTGGGAAACAACCTTTCTCAGAGAGGTGACCTTGGTTAAAACACAGTGCCAAGAAGGTGAGCAAACATATTAAAAACAGTATGCCATATATGCCAGGTCCCTTGAAACAGCAAGGATGGACCGGCTCCCGGCATCTGATCATCTCTTATTTATTTTGTTAATTTTTGTTAAATTTGTGGGGTGACATTGGTTAATCAAATTATATATAGGTTTTAGGTATATATTTCTATAATATATCATCTGTATATTGTATTGTGTGTTCACCACCCCCAGTGACGTCTCCTTCTGTCACCGTTGATCCAGCCTTTACCCTCTTCTACCTCACCTTATCCCCCTTTCTTTCTGGTAATCTCTTATTATGGACAAGACCTCTATTTCAAGTTCTTCTATGTAGTTGAGGGGCAGAAGTTTCTCTTGCGTCCAGGCTGAAGCTGCCTTTAGCTCAAAACAATCTGCATATTACAGAGGCACATCTTGGGGTAAGTTATTCTGAACCCCCATACTGGCTTGCTGCAGTGACCTAATTTACTCAGTGATGCTAAGGTGGGACTCACAGCACAGGTACCAAAACAGTGAGGAAATATTCTTTCCTGAATACGCATCGTTAGTCTTAGGGCAATTATGGGAGATGGCTGTATGTGGTCAACGCTGTTAACATTTTTGCAAATTCTTTACACAAGGTGCTGCTCTCATGTAAGAGCTCGTCAGGACCTGAATGTGTTTCAGATTCACTACGGCCTTCTTCATGACACTTTAAAAACTACTTTGTTTTTGTCAGAGGGAAATTAAGAAAAATTATTCTAGGCGGGGGAAAGTGAAGTAAAATTTTTTTTATCTAAAATGAGTCAGCTATGTTTTAGCTACAGAAACAATATCTGGAATGCAAAGAAATGCCCAATAAAAATAGAGAGGGAATTTCCTGTTAGGACAGTAACTGATTACTTATATCCAAGGGCATGTAAGGAATTGATTATATTGCAGCTCGAGCAATTACTCTTTGAGAATTTAAGATTGTTGAGATTACCAATGACAGGAAGGGAACAATGGATTTAAAATGAGGCAGAGGCCGGCTGGTGTGACTCAGTGGTTGAGTATTGACCTATGAACCAGGAGGTCATGGTTGGATTCCCAGTCAGGGCTCAATCCCCAATAGGGGGGATGTAGGAGGCAATCAATGATTCTCTCTTATGATTGATATCTCTATCTCTCTCTCCCTCTCCCTTCCTCTCTGAAATCAATATATTTTTTAAAAATAAAGAATAAAAAAATAAAGCGAGGCAGAAAGGGCTGTGGTTATATAGTTAATTGACATTTGTTACTAAAGGAAATCTCAGATTATTATTCTGTCTCTGATTTTTTAAAAATATATTTGTATTGATTTCAGAGAGGAAGGGAGAGGGAGAGAGAGATAGAGACATCAATGACGAGAGAGAATCATCAATTGGTTGGGAACAGAGCCTTCAACCAGGCAACCCAGGAATCAAACCGTGACCTCCTGGTTGATAGGGTGACTCAACCATTGAGCAACACTGGCCAGGCTGTCTGATTTTTAACACAATCAGTAAATTGTTGTTTTTGTTTATTTGATTCTGGAGATACATGGAAAATCTTTGTTATATTATTCTGTTTTGGGAGTTCCCACTGGCCACTTAGTTGTTTGGGGTTTTTTTGCATTCTATTTTATCAAGATAGGTCAAAGCACACTTCCAGTCCCATTATTGAGGTTCACTTTTTTTTTTGCCTCATCCCAGAAGACCAATTAAGGTCAGACACATTTACTGGGCAACAGAGAACTCAAGCCTGGCTAGAATCCTGAGAGAGCAAACAAAATGCTACAGCACAGGAAACTATTTCACACATTTTTGTTTTTAAGGTTTGAGGTTTTGTGGTACAAAATACCTAACAAATAATTGCAATTCAGAATTTGAGTAAAGTGCAGATACGAATAAGACTGCTATAGTCACATTCATTAATTACTTTTAATACTAAATACATATTTTTTAGTTGACCACATTTTACCAAATTCAAACAATTGTTGAAGATCATTTAATTCATACTACATGTTGATGTTAAAATAAGTTCAAATTGTTTTAAGTAGCTAGCACTGAAAGATTGAGTTCACTTTGAGCCATATGCTCAAAGATGATTTTCTTGCTGCAATATTAAGTCTGCTAATAATAAATGAGCAAAGAGGTTGGTACTGTTTGTGCCTTTAAGATCATAGTTCAAAAGCATTAAGCAAACACGATAACAAAGGTAAAACAAACATAACCTTTATTCTTTTTCAAAAACCCAGAGAACAGGGTCCGACTCACTGATTTAATCAGATACCTTACATTTTGTAGTCTCACTTAAAATTTTACATCAATAGACTGAATATTGTACAAGTGATAGCAAAATACATTATCGCTCTCAGCTACATAGTAAAAAAATGGAGTAAATTCTCTTATCCAACATAAAGAAGGGCTAACTAAGCTAGTGAGCTGCTGAATTAAACATTCATAATAAATAAAAATTACTCTGTATAATGATCATATTTTCATAGCCTAAAATCTGACATACAATTGTGTCACCTTCAGGAATTGGGAAACCAACACCCTGGAACTGCTAAAATATATGTATTTGTTATGCAAGTAGTGGGACAGAATCTCTGAAATCACATTCCTGAAGATCTGACCAGATGTCATGAATTTGCATGCTATCCACCCATCATTATTTTTTAAAGAACTTGAGTAAAATAAAATTAATGTTAAATACTCAATACAATTCAGTATTTCTTTGACTACTAAAAGGAAACCCCTCCAAGGCCTTGCATTGCTTTACAGGCCTGAGAAAAACCAGTAGTAACTGGGAAGGAGCTGTAAAGAGAGCAGGCAGGGACAGAATACCATATAACCACTTTCAGCCAGCAAACTGGTTAACATATCACTAAGCTGTTTTTTTCTTAAGTTCCTTAGCCATAAAAAAGTGTTTTAAAAATTCTTTTGCTTCTTAGAATAACTTTGTATATATTAGGATATTTTTAGAGTAGTCAGAATTTAACATCTTAAATGTTCAAATAATTCGTATGATTCTACTTACATAAGACTACTAGTATAGTCCTTACCATTCATTTAAACATAATTAGTAGGAACAAACCAGCTCCATTGAAGAACATAAATTAAAGAGTGTTGTTTTTTTTCTTAGACCTAAGGGAAAAGGTAGGAACTTAGCCCTTTCTCTTTAAGCATAAGACATAATTGAATGACACAGAGGACTGAGTCGGTACTCAGGAGACACAGATAAGACTTAGGAAAATCACTTTCCCTCTAAGATCCTTTCCAGCCACCTGATTCTAAAATTAAAACGTTCCCTTCCAGGTTCAAGGAGGAGTGCTAGACCAAACCTGCAACACCTGTTGCCACTGGCCCTGGGAATAAAGGACTTCCTGAAAAGCTGGGCTCAGGGGATTGCTTCAGGCCCAGCCCCAGGCACACGGGGAAACCGGGGAAACAATCAGTATTCTACTTGTTTCCTGATTCAGGAGGAATCTCCGAAGGGGCTTGATAAAACGCAGTTTCAGGGTCTCACCGAGGCCTCATTGTGTTAGATGTGTTAGAATCGCTGGGGATGGTGCCTCCTAATCTACCTACATTTTAAACACGCAAGGTCTCCCCCACATCATCATACCTCTGCAGGCTATGTGTGGCCTTCACTCTCCACCCCGTCCCCTACAAAAAAAGAAAAAAAAAAAAAGTAATGAAACCACTGTGTTAGTGGTAAATGCTCCGGAATCAGAGTCAGGAGCCAAAGAGTAGCTGCCTGATCTTGAATGAGTTATTTAACACCTCCAGGCCTCTGTCTCTTCATTAAAGAGATGAAAAAGGAGTCTCTACCATCCCTTTCGTTCTCAAATGCTACGGAGCTTAAAACCTAACGGGTCAACTCGGTAAATCGTGAAGGAGCTGGGGAGATCCTGCAAGGTGGTCATATGCCACAGCCCAAACATCCCAACAAATCTGGTAGCCCCCAATAGGGTGCAATTACTCTCTCTGGTCCCCTCATCCACACAGGAGGAAAAGTGGGGCTAGGTTGGAACTGGGTGAGGGGCGCAGGGGCGAGGGGGAGAAGCTTGCAGGAGAGTTTCGGCAAGAAGCAGGACGGATGCTTTGAAAGCAGGTATCACTCCTGATCCTCAGCCTCGTCGTTCTGGTCCTGGTAGCGAATGTAGACGACCAGCATGACAAAGCCCGTGAGGATGCAGAGGGACCCTACGACCAGGTAGGCGATGCCCAAGAAGGGGTTCTTGCCACCCATCCAGGAGATGTTGCTGAGGATGATGCGCTTGTGGCCGCCGAAGGCGCGCACCGGGTAGTTGTAGGTGATGTTGACGCGGTAGTTGCCGCGCGGCAGGCCGGCGGAGTAGTTGCCCTGGCGGATGCGCGCGTACAGCTTGCGGAACCAGGGCAGCGCCGCCGTGCGCATCCACACCACGAAGTCCTGGTTGATGAAGCCGGTGTTGTTGGGGTCGGGGCTGAGCTGGTAGACCGGCACGGGCCAGTTGGGCGGGCGCGTGGTGCCCTTGAAAGCCAGCGCCAGGCTGCCGTTCACCAGCGGCGGGTTGTGGAACTTGACGTGGTAGTCCGTCCACCAGGCGATGCCGGTGCGGTCGAGCGGCACTTCGACGTAGGGCCCGCCAGACAGGCGCTGGTGCCACAGCGTGAAGGTGTCATTGAAGAGGCTGTTGGCGATGGCGCCGCAGGGCGCGATGGGCACGCCCTTGGCGCTGAACTGGTAGGGGAAGCACTCGTTGACCGGGTGGCGCAGGGCGCTCTGCAGCCCGCTCAGCTGCGCGTCGTCGCGGGACACGCCGTAGCGCCGGTTGTTCTGGTAGAAGTTGGTGAGCTCGTAGTAGAGGTACACGGGGCCTTGGAAGAGCTCGGACAGCGAGAAGTTCCAGGCGCACCGGCAGCTGGGCGGCGGCGCGCGGTCCTGGTCGGCCACGCCGCACAGCGAGCAGTCGCCGGTGCCTGGGTTGCCCGTGTAGTCGTGCCCGAGCTCCTTGATG